GGTTGCAACATTATTTATCTGGAGAAAGTTTCCCACCAGGGCCTGTAAAATATGGACATTTCATTTCCATCGATTATTAATTCTAGCTATATGTGTGAACCAGTGATTTTTTGGGAGGGAGCAGTAAAAAAATGCTGGTGGTATAATAGCATACTTTCTTACCGACAGGGCAGGTGGTATGATAGCATACCTTCTTACCGACAGAGCCCTCGGCACTGGCGGCAGTCTTTTTTTTTATCAAGAGAGTGTCCGCCGGCCACCGCGGCAGCAGTGGCTGTGTTGCCCGCCAATAGAATTGAGCTGCATACCCCTGGTGCCCCTGGTTGTAATACTGCGTACCTGCGGAATACTGGTGGAGCGTTTGTTGCGCTGTGTGGACCCAAGCACATGTGGACGTCAGTGATCTGATGTTATTGTAGTCATTGAAGAAAATGGCTGATAGCGCAGGAAACTGGTGTCTGATTGAAAGTGACCCTGGAGTTTTCACAGAATTAATCAAAGAATTTGGTAATACAGAAGTTTTGTATGTGGATGGAGAGTAGATTTGAAGGGATAGCGATGATTGGTATTTGTGAATTATTTTTTGCTTAACTGCTGTTTATTACCAACAGAAATAGATTTTTTACCAGATAATATTTAAAAATTGTGTAAAATTTGGTAAAACATTATATACTTTTTATGCCTTCCAAAACATTGTCGGTTTCATGTTTCAGTACAGGAATACATAGCAGCCTTAATAGTGTGTTAGTCCGAATAATTAAGAGTTTTTATAAAAATAACTGAAGTATATTAATAATTGTCTGTTATTAAGCGCAGGAACATATTTGGTTTGCACACATCAGCCAAAATGTGCAACAGCAAATATCTTTAAAAAGAATCCAGTACCCTATACAATCTTGCTCACATGTTCAGCTTTAGACACCAAGATTATGATGTAGAGTTTGGTTTGAATCATGTGCTGTGTCACAGTGGAGGGTGTTTTCGTAGTGCACTTTCCCAGTTGAGGTTAATGGGGTAAGGTTAACTTGGCATTTGGGAACAGTTGTAGAGCATACTTTCATTGTGACTACCATGGTGCTGAGTCTTTGAGAAACTTCCAATCACTCACCTACTCAAGAATATCTCGGCATTTTGTGAAACCTGAAAGTTCATTACTGTGTTCACAAGATCCAATGCTGGTCCCTATCCTGAGCCAGATGAATTGAGTGCATAGCACCCCATCCTTTTTTTATAAGATCCATTTTAATATTATCCTCCCACCTACATCTAAGTCTTCCTTGTGGCTTTCCCAAAAACAACCTATATGAATTCCTCTTTTCTCAGATGCATGTTACATGCCCTGCCCACCTAATCCTCTACTCTGTCATTCTAATTATATTCAGCAAAGAGTACAAATTTGTGTGCATGCATGTTGGTATTGATTGTAAAAATATAATGAAAATGACTTGCTGCTGTCTTCTTATGTCATGTGATTACAAACCAGTTACATGCCACCAGTATTGACATAAGAGTGGCTGTTACGAAGATAAAACAACTCCGTCCATTGTGACTATTTCAGTTCTACCACTTGAAAACTTAGCACCCTAACGTGTTTCGATCCTTACGGGTCTTCTTCAGAGGGAACATCGATACTTATTCGGAAACCGCTATCACAATAGGTGTTCTGAGTGCCAAACTACATACACACACACACACACACACAATGCCTGGAACACACAATATACACAAAATCCAATTTTTTCACAATCACAGCAGCTTTCCTGGTTAAAGTTTTTAAAACTTTGTTGTTTAAGTTAAAATTTATAAACCAGGTAGGCTCGTGTCACTTCTCCTATCGTCTTTCGTGAAGGGGGCTGAACTTGTACTGCCTGTCTATCTTGGGAAGGAGATTCTGCAAATATATTATGGATATTATATTAATTTTAAGGCAGAAAGAAACAAAATCCTTAAAAAAAATATATATATATATATACACAGTAGGGTCACTGAAATGGTACGCCTCAGCTTATCAGAGATCTCATTTTGTCCCTCTTTTTAACTTTGTGTGTTTCTAATTTTACAATAAACACGTTTTGAGTTTTTAGGAATAATAGCAAGATATGAGTAAAGCACAAAATTATACAGTTAGTATCATGACATTTTGAGAATTGTAATAAATTTGGATATTACTATATTCTCAGAATATCCTGCACCCCCTGAACCAACTTCTCTTCACCTTCCTAGGGCTTCACTTTAGAAACCACTGCCCTAAGAGGAATCTTTACTCTCATACACTCACTATAATTGAAAAGAAAGCATAATGTGATGGTTTAAGAATAATCCCTTCTGAGAATGCATGGCTCACATCAAAATAAACCGTTGTTAGGAACTGACTGAAATTTAACCTGAATCATAAAATATGTTTCTGAACAGACTTTATTAAGTTACTTACAGATGACCATTTGTCTGTTTGGGGGCATGCAGTAATGTAGTTGGTTGGTGCACTATGCTACAAGCCATGGGCAGAAATGTAGTTTTAGCTTTGGTCAGTACACAGCAGTATTCCAGGCAGAAGTGTATGCCATTAAGGCGTGTGCAGTTGAGAATTTAGATAGAAACTATAAAAATAGGAATATCTGTATTCTGTCAGACAGTCAAGTGCAATTAAAGCACTTGGTACACACCAGATCACTTCAAAATCCCTCACACAACTGGCCAAACAACTAGAGTTCAACTGATATGGGTGCCAGGTCATGAGGGTATTGCTGGGAATGAAACCGCAGATCAGCTGGCAAGAACAGGATCTGAACAGCCATTCATAGGACCTGAACCAGCTTGCGGCATCTCAGTAGGAGTTGCCAAGAAAGTGATTAGGGACTGGACAGATAGAAATCACAAAATCACTGGGAAGCCACAGTTGGACTCAAACATGCAAAGGGGTTTATATCAGGACCCTGTGCCAGAAGAACGAAGGACCTGTTGAAATCAAATAGAGATCAATTAAGATGGGTGGTAGGATTACTTACTGGACACTGCCACTGGTCAGTTCTTCATGGAACCAAGTGACTTTTATGATGTCCCCATAAATAAAGTCCTACATTTCATTCAAAGTGTAGGATTAATAAAGGGTTAATCCGAAGGGGAAGCACAATAGATCATTGAAGGTCACAGTGCGAGGGCTGGATTTTATGGCACACCCCTTACACATATACATGCTACAAGCCGGAAGGTCACGGGTTCAAGTCCCGATGAGGTGGATTTTTTTCAATTGACCTAATCCTTCCAGCCACACTGTGGCCTTGGGTTTGACTCAGCCTCTAACAGAAATGAGTACTAGAAATCTTCCTAGGGGCTAAAGGGCATCCGGTGCGTAAGGCTGACAAGCTTACTGCCATGTGAGTTGATTGTCTAGATAATGTGCACCCTCAATGTCTCACAACCCGAACAACCCAGTAGGGCTTCGTGGCCTGCTGCAGGGATAGTTTTACATTTTTTTTTACAGGTGAACATGTAAACAAATGTAATTTTCCCATATCAAAGTTGACTAACATACTGTGGCCGTTGAAGCTAATCTGAAGTGACAGTTCACCTGTGGCTCTCATAATTTTCTTACTTTGTAGGTTTTAAGTATTTCATTATTCAGTAATGATGAATTTTTATTTCATAGGTGTGAAAGGTGTCCAGGTAGAGGAACTGTGGAGTTTAGATGCAGAACAATTTGAAAATTTGAAGTATGTATGTTTTTATTATATTTATGTTGTGTTGACGGCTAACTTTAGAGGGTTTGGGACTGTTTTCATATTTGTTATGTCCACCTCTTTCTTTATGCAGACCTATCCATGGGTTGATCTTCTTGTTTAAATGGGTTCAAGATGACGAGCCCACTGGGTCCATTGTTCAAGACACCCGACTGGATAAAATATTTTTTGCTAAACAGGTAAAAGCACTTGATGTTTTTTCCTAACAAGCTCCATGGATCAGAGTCCTGTTCTTGAGAAGCCAATAGTCACTCAATCAAATCCCCTACTTTCTATGGAACCTGAAGGTTCATTGTCATATATTGAATTCAGAAAGCTACCATCTAATAACATGCAATTTAATCAGTACATAAGCAGTTCTTCCTATGTATGTTTTGGCCATTTGTCTATATACAGGAGGTCCACGAATTCCTGTTATCTAGGTGAGCAGAAAATGGACAACTTCGGAAGATAGAGCCATAGCCATAGATTAAGTAAATCACTCTTGAATGAAATATATAAACATAAGAAACTTAATAATGTTACTAAGATTGCAAAAGATAATGGATATAAGAAGGAACAATAAGGGTGTATAATAGAAGTTATAAAAAGCAGTAAACAACAAATAAGCAATAACATAAATGGCTCTTATTCACAGCCCAGCTAATTATGTAGCTACTGTCACAAAATTGTTCAAAAACGGAACTAAAGACAGCTTTCAGAACAAATAATATATATATATACAGGGTGTCCCAGGAGGAATGGTCAAAACTTTTGGAGGGTGTTCCTTATGTTAAAGTATGCCGATATAACCACCTGTCAGCTGAAATGCCTTATCTATGTTTGTCCTTGAGTGCGGTGATTCACACTAGCCGTAAGCTCATGTGGCTCATATGCTACCTACAGAGCCTACAGAGTACGTTGCGGCAGCATCGTGAATGCTTGGTAAATTATGTGTAGTTGTGCGGAGTTGCTGAAATGCCTTTTGTGTTTTCACACGTTGAATATTGTGATATGCATTTTGTGTATGGATTTTGCGGTGGCAATGCATGTGCTGCTGTTGAAGAGTACCAAAGGCGTTTTCCCAATCAAAGGATTCCATCTCGAAGTGTATTTACGCGAATTCACCAGACATTGCGTGATACTGGTTCTCTTCCAAGTGTTCCTGTTCAGTCTGAAAGGGAGGATGTACGAATGATAAACACACGAGAGAACGTTCTTGAGATGGTTCAGAGAAGTCCGCGTCTGTCCACTCGTAGAATGGCCTCTCGCATCGGCGTATCACATACGAAAGTGCGGCGAACTTTATATGATGAAGAGTTGTATCCTTACCATGATCAAAGGGTACAACATCTGGAACCAGGCGACCATGCACAGTGTATGGATTTGTGCCACTGGATAAAAGCTCATCCCGAACTGTTAAGCGTCATTTTATTCAGTAATGAGGCGTCTTTTACCCTGGATGGTGTAAATAATTTACGAAATGTGCATACGTGGTCCCATAATAATCCACATGAGATAATGGAAACGAAATTCTAAAAGAGAGTTTCCATGAATGTACGTTTAATACAGTTATGTGGTCGGCTTATAGCACAGTCAGCCATGTTACGTCAGCGCTTGCCAGTCATGTGTCATGTATAGTGCTTGGAAACCCTAAGGACAGTTATGACATGGTGAGCGAGTATTTTGTACTTCAATTTTATGGCTTCATGTCACTCACAAGTTAGTTTGATGTTACGTACATTATTAACATTACAGAAACCACATATTCCTGCCAGTTTTAATATGTATTTTGTAATCAACAAGTGTGCAACACCGGTCAAAGTTTGACACTTCTCTGGCCATTATCTCCGTAACCGTTCAGCTTTGGACATAGGTGTTTTGGGTTATATCGGCATACTTTAACATAAGGAACACCCTCCCGAAGTTTTGACCATTCCTCCTGGGACACTCTGTATATATCACACAGTTCCTGTTTCCAAGGATCATGAAAATAAAGAATTTACAAATGTTGATGTTTAGATTGCAATAAATCATATATGTATATAGGTCAGATGGAATGATCATTATGACCCAGGAGAAAAGGACAGTATTCTGGGAGGCCATAGTATCGATCACTCTAAGCATAGAAGTGTATATCTTCGCGTGTTGTATTTCCAAGATAGGGCTATTTCACTGTACAGCTCAAAAATTGTTGGTAAGGAAGAGGTGTTACATACTCTTTCTAATACCAGTATTTATTGTTCAAGTGACAAAGTTGGTAGAGTTTACCTAGTATAATACATTTTAAAAAAATTCCACTGTCATCATCAATGCACTTTGCAGCTCTTGTAAGGGTGTGCTGCTTGTCTCAGTGCATCTGGATGTTCCTTTATGTGGGCGATAACATCCACAGTACTCTCTTGGAAACTGTTTGGAATAGGACACATGAACATACACAGCTCTTTTTGCTTGGAGTATCTGATACTGTGACCTCCCAAATATTGACCTTTCTTCCTGGGACACTGTATATTAGATATAAGGAACATGTATTTAATGTTAAAGGAATCAAGATGATAGGGTATTCAGCTTGTATAGTATATGACATACATCACCGTGGAAGAGTAGAACAGCTCATGTAAGGAATACATTTTGGAAGAAAAGGTCATTTGTATATTTATATGTTCAAAAAACTGAAGCATTGGATAAATGAAGAAAATCTGAGTGTCAGAACATTCTGCTTGATGTGGTATCGAACTTCATGGACAAGAGATTATTTGGGTGTGAGGAAATCTTCTATCAGCTAATACTAACCAGATTGGGAATGTTGAACTATTCATCATTACTTTCATGTCTTATGTGGTAACCACTTCAAGCAACTTAGGAAGTGGTCAAATAATGTAAGAAATAGTTCTGTTGCATTCACTGTATTATTGTCTGTAGACAGCAGAAAATCCATTTTGTTTCATGATCTCAAAAATCTTACATACATACATTCATATATTTCACATTCTGCAAGTCCAAAATACAATGGACATGAAACTGGTCACAAGCATAACACAAAGAAAGTAGAAAGACAATACGAAGCTAAACTAACACTGTAACTAATTATTTACTGTATGCTCCAAAAATTCATCGACTTTATAAAATGAGTTATTCATGAAATATGAAAATAATTATTTTTAAAACTGATTTTAACCTTTCTAAGACTTTGAATGGTCTTTGGCAGTCTATTAAATAACCTAATACCAGTGCCCTTCTGGAAAATAGAAAGATTTGAAGTTGGACTATAAATTTGATTTTTGCTTCTCATGTTCAGGACATGAACGTCAGAAACTGAACAGAAATTATTTTTATCTATCACAAATAACATCAAAGAAAAAATATATACACATGACAATGGTAAAATATCTATTTTCTTAAAAAGACTTCTACATGAGTCTTATGGGAACATGAAATATGTTTTATTTTTGTCTACAACTTAAAAACAATTTTCGATCTAATAACTGAGTGAGTTCGCATTTGATTTTTGTATAAATTGTGTGCTGAAATACATTCTGATAGTGCCCTACATCATCATCAAATTTTAACTGAATCTGAAATATGTTGGCATATTTTAGTAAAACTCCCCCATAACAGATTTCAGGAAAATTAGTTTCACTGTTCTCCATTTGTTACATGGAGATGGATGGCTGGATAAATAAACACAGCAAAGCTAATACAGGCACTTTTGCAAGTTTTTGTTTAAAACTTGCCAAAAGGAAGAAATATTGCAGTTCCTGCTTTATGTTCTAAATCTTAATATTTTTATAGTAATATATGTAATTAAAAGTTGGGCTTGAAAATTATATATTTTGGTGATGTTTGGATGTTCCAAGTATTTATGATATTATAGTTTATAAGTGGTTCCATGTATTTGTTATAACAAGCATTTTTACAAATTCCACAAATTTGTACTATGTTGAAGTTGCAGTGTACAAGTAATGAGTTCTGTATTCTTGTACCAGGCAATGAAAACAGTTAAAATCCTGTTGCATACTTTGATTCAAATTCATCTATGTCCAGATTTGAGAAGGAAAGAAATCATTGTGATATGATATGATGATTAACCGTTTAAAGACTGAATTTCTTCATGCTTTATATACAATTTCGGTTCGTACCTCACAGGAAACACAGTAAGTCTCCTCTCCAAAGACCAGCTCTTAATGCTGTTTAGGGAAGGAAATTGCTGTTTACTGTAAGAACCATACAAAATGCACAAATGCAATCTGTGAGCAGAATTGAGAATTGTAATATATGTATTAAAGGAGGTTGAACATATGGTAACCACCGTGCTTTAAAGGGTTAAATTGTCATGAGTTTGTGACTAGATGCAGGGTTTAGTTTGATAATTGAATGTCTTTGGTACTGATTACTCTAAACTGTAGATAATTACACACTTATTGTTCTTCATGGTCTACAAATGACTGCAGTGTATTCCAAGTTTCCTATATCTTCACATACTTGTTGCTTGGTTACAGCCTTCAGTAACGAGAATTGGACCTGATGCTTTTGTGATTGACAGCTCCCATCTGAGTCTCACTGGCTGTACCTGGCTGTTCTTATATAGCTTTGAAACAGACCTGTGTTCCTAAGGCTGTTGTGTGCATATTGGTTGCCATAGGGCCCTTCTTTTTTAACAAGCCAGTGCACAACAGTGGATACCTCTGCAACACTTCTCTGATTCCAAAATTCGGACATCTTGTCATAATATGTTGGCCTAAGTTGCTGTAAAATCAGTGGAGTAGTTTGTGAGAAAATCAGTTTCATTGATCATTGGAATCTGTGCTGTGCAGTGAGACAGTATCATGTTGTAGTTGTGCAAGTCATATGGAGAAAACCAAAGTTGCTTGAAAATCCTTAATGCATTTGTTTTAAGCCTGGTACATCGGAGGTATTTTACACAAATATGATGAAGAAGATTGAAGTTGCCACTTCAAATGTTGAAACTTACACCCTGAAAAGAGCAGACATAAAAATTGGGTAAAGGGATTGTCAGTATTGTGTGCATAAAACATTCATGAAAAGTGACAATAGTTTTATGATTTTCAGGAACGTCTTTACTGAGTAAATTCGTGGGCTTTAAACTGTTGTGTGTTTCTGTGGATGCCAAGAATGTAGTATTTTTAAATAATTCTATCTTGTGCAGATCATTTGTATTTTAAGTGTAATTTTATGTACGAGCTGTAAATGTGTTGGAACAATGAACATTTTTGTCAAGAACTAAGGACTGACAAACCTTAGAAGTGATATTCCTTCTTCTTTTGTTATTTTTTTTATTTACTTGATGTATGATGCAGAGATAATAAAAATGTTAGTTATATTGACAGCTGGAACACTTGCATGTAGTCAAGGCTGATGGTTGTCCTTTTAGATGCTAATAACAGTTTTCTTTATTTTAGGTCATCAATAATGCCTGTGCTACTCAAGCAATCCTTAGCATTTTATTAAATTGCAAACACCCAGACTTAACTCTAGGCCCAACCCTTACAGAATTCAAAGAGTTCTGCCAGACTTTTGATGCTAACATGAAAGGGCTCACACTGAGCAACTCTCAGACCATACGCTCTGTTCACAATTCATTTGCCCGGTAAGTAAAGGTGAATGTGAGTATTTTTGCCTAGGAAATTCCTTATTTGAGTTTGACTAACAATGTGGGTATTGTGTACACCATGTTGCAGAGGCTGACTTCAAGCCCTTTGGTCATATACAATGTGTGTTCAGAAAGTTTCTAAAATTTGTCTATAAATAATATATTTCTCTGCTTACATTTTATTGAATATTATACCTTTCAAAATAGTCCCCTTGCACAGCAATACACAGCTCCCATTGCCTTTCCCACTTTTGGAAGCACTTTTCAAAGGATAATGTTGTATTTTAGCATGCTGTTGCACTGATTCGCGTCCATGATGTGTATGTATTGACCGTCTTCTAGTGCACACAGTCTCACTTGTGACTTCACTACATGTTTCGGCATCACTGTGCCATCCTTAGGTGTGTTATTTACGTTAAACTATTGCAATGCTCGCCATCATGTGTCGTTTATAAAATGATTTAAAATTTATATTTGTCATGTACTATAATAAAATTTATATATTAAAATTTGTTAAGATTTATCATCTTATACATCGTATTTTCAAAGGATGTTTGTGGTATCACTTTCAAATCATTTGTTGCATTAGTGATGATGTCATCCACTGTCTGAAATCGTTTTCTTAAGGGTAATTTTGAATTTAGGGAAGAGTAAAACGTTGGGAGGGGAGAGGGCAGGTGATAGGCGGGCTGTGGAAGGGTAGGAATTTGTTGTTTTCCTAAGGACCAATTAATTGATGCTGCTATGTTAATGAGCACATCCTGAAGTCCACATTTCAGGTTGCTTTCTTAATGCTGCAGCCTGCAGACGTCTCAGAACCTCCAGATAAAGACCTTGAGTAATTGTCTGACCATCAGGAGTGGATTTGTACTGCACACTGCCTCAGTGATAGAGAAAACGAAGCAGCATTGTTCTCACTCCTGAGTGCACCTGTTGTGCACGACTCTTCCAGTGTCAGAACTGTTGCTTGATTTCAGTGTAGTAACCATAAACATGCATCTCATCACCAGTAATAACGTTTTTCAAAAGATTTTCGTTGTCATTTGCTCTTTGGAGGAGATTTTCACGGTTGGAAAATCATTGCAGTTTCTGATCGTTAGTCAAGAGTCTTGGCATAAGTTTCTGAGACCCGATGCATTCCTAAATCTTCTGTTAAAATTGTGTGGCATGAACCAATGTATATTCTAACCTCGTCTGCAACTTTTCAGATAGTCAGTTCATTATTCCCATGGATAACGTTTTTCACCTGGTTACTCGGAGGTTTGGATCTTTAAATTTAAGGTCAGCCAGGCCACTCATTGTCATCTGTTGAAGTTCTTCAATTTTTTAAACATCTGAACCATTTGTAGGTCATCATTTTACTAGAGGCATTATCATTGTAAGCTTCACGCAACTTGATATGGGTTTTTGCAGCTGTTTTCCCTACTTTGAAACAGAATTTAACACAAATTCTTTGCTCCTTTCAGACTCCATACCAAATTGACAAGACAACAGCACACTCTATGACAGAACCGGTTATAAAAACTGAACGGAACATCTGATCTACATGGAAAAAATGTGTGGCATAACTGTCAAGTTGCAAGGTCATTCAGACACCTATTGTGACCAATGTGCTGCTGTTCAGCACTGTAATTTCAGGAACTTGAACACCTCATGCATAGTGCTGTCTGAAATGTTTATGTTTTGAACAAAAGACTTCCATATTCACTTGGTGCAGAACTATAAACTAGGACAAGCTAGCTTGCCAGAACATGGTCTCAGCATCCCAAATTTTAATACCTAAATCTGAAGAATTCATCATGAAATCCTCTTTCATACCTTGTGATCTTAGCAGACTGCATTTGTTAATTTCAGGTACCTTTTATAATAATTTCACTATACTGTGGCATATTTGCCTCATGCAAGAATGGTTGAGCTACACAAACAACTGTTGCTAAGTAATACACGCACACAACAATAGAACAATGGGGTTATGCAATCTGGTTCTAGACACTGGCTCTGTAAACATATTTCCGTGTATTGGACCATGCTATGCAATGTAGTGACGTCATCAACAATACAAGCTGTGTTTTCCATGGGGTCTGTGCAGAGTGCTTATAAGAGAAGTGAATTCAGAAGCTAAGAACAACTCCGTGTGGAGGCACTATCAGATACCTCCACCGTCATCCTGCGATTCGTAGGAGGCGACGAAAAGGGAAGTCTCATATCTGAGACAGTAAAATATGGTCACAAGTCCCAAGGGACTCGGGATTCGAGAAAAACTGTGCTGGCAAGTGCCAGCATCATATACAAAAGACACCCGTCCTCTCGTCAGAGAGGGCGCCCCACAGAAACAAGACCATAACTGTCAAATGGTAATAATATCTGGTCATGAAACCCAGATGGAGCTCGACACCAAGACTTACTGACTGACTGACTGACTGACTGACTGACCGACCGTCAGTCGCAATGTGAATTTGACTTTGAAGCTAAGAACAGTTGAGAATGCTAGGACAAGAATGGAGGATGTCCTTAGTAAATTGTGAAGATTAGTTGAGTACAAATTATGACAGAGGAGTACAAAGTGATTGAAGACAAGAAGACTTCATAGTGATTTGAAGTGATAGTTTCTGTGTTGAGATCCATTGCTAAGAGATGATTGGTGAAGACTGGGAACCCTAATGTGTGTGCAACAGTGGACCAAAAAGTGTGTAAATCAGTGAAAGTGCTGTATTAATTGTAATTAAGAGAGATGGTAACTGATGTGCTAATAAATCCAATCATCCAAACTAGAAACCATTAAGTATGTCATGCATACCCCTATACACATGACAGTACTCTGCAAGGTACTTCTAGGTGTCTGTTGTACAATTTCTCTCTCATTGCGTTCTTTCTGTTTTTTCAGGCAGACCCTCTTTGAATTTGAATCCAAATTGGCTTCCAAGGATGATGATGTATACCACTTTGTTGGTTACATTCCTATAGATGGACGGTTATATGAACTGGATGGACTTAAAGAAGGTCCCATTGATCTGGGTGCAGTTACTCCAGATGTGGATTGGTTAGATATTGTCCGTCCCATTATTGAGAAAAGGATAAAGAAGTAAGTTGTACATTATTTGAAGAAAAATGCCTGTAGTGTATTTTCATGTATACTATTTTGTTATGTGACGTTCAGCACCAAGCTGATGAAGACGTACAAAATTTAAATGAGAGGCAATAATTAACTGAATGTAATAAAGCACATGCAAGGAGCTAAGGTTGTGATGACTGCTTCTTCAGAAGTTCTTCCTCTTTGTTAGAAAGTCTTTTCCAGCTGGCTGATGATAGCTATGAAATTATATATCCCGATTATATATATATATTGTAACGTGTTTCGTTACTGAAGACGCCGTAGAGATCGTTAATTGGTTTATTGAACAATCTACAAGTAACGGCTACGATTACTTATCACACAGTTGCGGGATTTCACACTTTATAACCCTAATCGCATTAATCTGTTACCACTGTTGCGGGGTTTCACGATTTATAACCCTAAGCGCAAATCAGCTCACTCTGTCTTCAGTAGTCTACACGTTTACAGTAGGGGAGCTTTGTATCACCATATCACACACTCCCAATTACACAATCACACACACGTCCAGCTCTTCTTTCCACGACGGCCGCTATACTCCAACTGTAGTCAGCTGACTGGAGAACTGTTGATAAAACACTCGTTCGACTACTACTGAACTCGGCGACTCTTACATTACAACTGACTGGCAGCCACTGTGCAGCTCACTTATATAGCTGCAGTGCTTGCCTATTGAGTAATGAGTGCCACGTCATCCTGTTACATCACCGCTGTTGACTCGCGTTGCATAGCTACCAGGTTGCGGGGCCTCGGCTAACTTCGGATCCGCTCGTGACGTCACCGCGGGGAGAGTGGCGGGGTGATGACTCGCCTATTACGCGAGCGCTACTTTACTGCCACGTGCATCTGGGGAGGTAGGGGTCCTCCGTTACGCAACATGTCACAATATATATATTATGTATCCCAGTAGTTTCTTGCTTGTAATGTTATGAATATTTATGATTTGAGCTTGTAGGTGCAGTTTCATGGTCCACAGACCACGTTATTAGGAATATCTTGGGGATACCTTAGTTCTCATTAGACGAATTCAGATGGCACAATAATTGTAACTGGTAAAATTAGCTACTTGAGTTTCATGTAGATATCATTAGGTTAGTCAGTTATACAGTGTAACCTCATTATAAAGAGAATTTATAAATTTCATAAAAATGTTCGTTATGGTAAGTACTTGTAATATCCAAAACTGCTGAAATATAAACCTTTTCTAATTATATATATATATATATATATATATATTACCGCATGGTACTAAATTTTTAAGAAAGTAATGGCAGATGTGGCAGTATTCTTGTAACAGAAAGTTGCAAATGGGCACATATTAGCTTGACAGTATTTGCCTGTCCGTCACCCTGCATGTAACAACTCGAGAACTGCTGAATGGATATACACAACATTTTAGGCATCAGTTCATCTCCCATCTTCAGATGATGATTCCCATTATGTTCATGGAATTGTCATTTTAAGATTATAAGTGGCAGCTGGGTCTGAGCCTGGGTCCTTTTAAATTCTGTGTTAGTATACTGACCTCCAAACCACTTTTGCTAATAATTTTAAAATGAGACATAATAACAAGTCTGTCATGATGGTAACAAATCAACTAAAGTCAGGAGCAGAGCAAGTTTTTTGAACATCAGACACAGGGCTCACAAAATATGCTTGACCGACTGCCCCCATTTGTGGTGAGTTGCGATCATTTACATGGCTCAGTGAGCGGAAGCCAGAAAATACTGATCGACTTTCTGGTGACCAGAATATTTGTCTTATTGTATCTTTTGAATCCCTTAGATTCACTGTTTTGTGTTTATCCAGGATACAGTGGATTTTGCATCATACACATCTGATATGTTGGCTATTGTTAGATTATGCTTGGGGCTCACAGGTGTGAGCAGCTGCTTTTAAATATTCACTCTTTCTTTTACTTATCTGTCATTGCTATTGTTGTAGGGCAGCATTTGTAAACCAGTAGGTAGCAAGAGTTGTGGTATGTTTGAAGAGGTGCAAAATGCAAAACAATTGAGTGTCATACAAGAAAACTGCCACAGGGGATTTCAAGTTGAAAGTTGAAAAGACAGTGAAGAGAATTTTAATTCTAATAGAGTTAGCACAACACTGAATGAATAAAATACACAGTACTTCCCACTCATTCACATTCATGTGGACCCTGTTTTTAACATTAGCATTTCTGAATCCTGTGTTTCAGGTATAATGAAGGTGAAATACATTTTAATCTAATGGCAATTGTATCTGACCGAAAAATGACATATGAGAAGAAAATTTCACAGATTCAAAAACAAATGGAGGTGGGTACATTAATTGGTACGGAATGTAAAAATGTTTCTCTTTTTCAGACTCTAAACATTCCTTAGGTTTAGCTTGTCCTTTCTTGCAGTGAACTGTTGAAGCAAACTTCATTGAACCTTGTAATATTATTTATCAGATGCATTGTAGCTGTTGGCATAATAGTATATTTAAGTTTGTAAAACATGAATATTGTCTTTGGAATAATCTAAAAAGAAATATAGCATTTCACATTTGTGTCAAGATATGTCAGCAATGCAGGAGTAGATGCTTCTTTTCACACAACACTGTTGTATAACTTACCCCACAATAGTTACAGTAGCAGAGTCTTATCCTGTTCCTTCTACAGTGAGGGTTAATGCAAAATTGCCTGTGGAGGATACAGTGGACTGAGATAGGTTTTCTACAGGTACTCCAGGTTGAGCTGCCTGTACTGCCGACAGAAGAAATTTGGCAAAAAAAATTAATGCCAATTTTAAGTGGGCCAAAGGACCAGTAAGTGCAGTATGGTGGTAGGAAAAGAGCAAAGGGCTGAGTAAACTGAGGCAGTAACACAATACAGAGGCTTGAATTAAGCAAGAAGATAAAAAATAGACCTATTTATTTACTAGAATGAGTTGTTTGTGTTGTATATTTCTAGTTCACTTTGTGAATATGTTTTAGTTCCATATCCTCAGTTTATCATCAGTCTGTTCTTATATATATGTATTTGTGTAATAGAGCATAGTTCTTACACAAATACACAATGAGACCATATTAATAACTGGAATCTCAAATATATTTGTGTTCTTTGCTGACAATTTAAGTTCCTATATTTATTTGTGGGCAGCCATGTATGGTTTCTCTTTGGTAGGCCATGTTTATTTTGAATACAGAATAACGATTTTGAATTGTTTTTCTACCACTTACACACAAAACTGATGAAAACCTGACTGTTTTGATTATCTTTTTGACTGGGTCATATTTTATGGAACAATTTGAAATATATATATCATATATTGTTTGATTGTTTTGCACATTAGGAGAGTGGCATGGAAACTGATATTCAACAAGCAGAAATCTCCAGGCTACGATTACTGATTGAGGAAGAAGAACTAAAAAATAAACAGTACCAGATTGAAAATATCAGAAGGAAACATAACTATCTCCCACTCATTGTAGAGATTTTAAAAATACTTGCTAAAGAGGGTCAACTTCTGCCTCTTTACGAAAAGGCTAAGGAAAGAGCTCTGGAAAAGGAAACCAAGAGAGAAGAAGCAAAAGCATGAAAACTCTTGTGTGTTACTATACAAATCAGAAACTCAAATATTACAAGAATAGTGACATTTTTGTTTTACCCACAAATAATATAAATGAATCATTCAATATCCTAAAATGTGTTGGGAAAATTTATTCCTCTTGTTTTTATTTTCTAAGGAAATTTGTGAAACAGTTTGTATGTTCTATGTGTTTAAACTGAAATCAATAAAATTAAGGGTTTTAGTTCTCAAACTATTTTGTGTGCTATTTTATTAAACAAAATATCAATAATTGAAATGAATTCCGAGCTAAAATTTATTTTTCCAGGTTCAGATTAACTTTAATGGCTTAAACTTGAATACTGTTATCTATATTTCTTACAAAGTGTCATAGCTATGAATGGAGAATACATTCCAAATGGGTATGATGCAGAAACTCCGTCTTTCACGTTTAATGCTGAAGCCCACCTCAGGAAGCACCGTTATATGCTGTGAAACATGATGATTTGACAGTTTATTTCAGTAAGTTGTCGTGTCATTGTTATTGCTTTTAAGTGTTTAATTGCATGTGACTTTTTTAAGCAGTATTTAATTTGTATATTAAATAGTTTACAGGTTCATAATGGGTGATTCAAAACTATAAAGATAAATCTGAATTTCAGGAAACTTGAAGAAAATGAATTTTTAGGTTTCATTTTAAGTCAGTTCATCAGGTGTACCGTTTGTACCATAATGCAGAAACCAGTTTGTCTTCTCTCACCCAGGTACACCATTTCTCTTGGGTGGTTCTTATTTCAGTTATTCATACAGCTCTGATGCTTTGCCATTAACAATTTAACAAACCATATTTCTGTGCCTGTCTTTCTAAAACCTGACAGCAGGGTTAGGTCCAGTTATCAAGCTGTCATAGCATTGAAGGAGGAAAGAACTTTCCCAGTAATATATCTGTTTAACCATTATTGACCCTATATCACATAATTGGGTTTGCACATTATTCTGTGTAGCTGGATGGGCATTGCATTTTTTTAAATGTTAATATGACCACCAGATGTAGAAGTGGATGATTAAGAAATCCATAGTCCCTGACAGTAAACTGTTATCTTCAGATTGTAGTGTCGATGCCACCCGTGTAGTGCTGGTAGATTTTAACCACCATTCCCAGCTGATAAAATTTAAATGACACATTCAGGACTATGGCTGAGCATCAATAACAATGCAATGCTTGGGTACACGAATTCGCCTGACTCAACACCCCAGCGACAACACTGTGGCCATTCCAGGAATTAAATTGTCACATCTTGTATTATAAGAACTAAATATATGTCTGAATTTCATGAATGCCTTACAGTATGCAAGGAGTCATGATAGCAACAGTTGGTATAGCAACTGGCTATGGGCTGGACAGCCAAGGGGTGAGAGTTTTCTCCTCTCCACATTCTCCAGACTGGTTACGGGGCCCATCCAATGGGTACTGGGGGCTCTTTCCCTCGGGATAAAGTGATCAGGGCATGAAGCTTACCGTTCACCTCCAACTAGTGCTGAGGTCAAAAGTAAATGGATCTATATGTCCACTTCCTGACATGTCTTGATGGTGTAGTGCTTAATTAGTTAAGCACAGGGACATTTGTACCTTTCCTTATAGTATACAAAATATCCTACTGTGGCCCACTGGGATAATGTAATCCTTTTCTTTTATACAGCATCTTTTGTAATTAAATTCCATTTAATTTTTTTAGCATTTAATCACCTGTGATACACACCACAGTGCAGTGAACAACAAAACATTAACCTTTAACTGACAAATGTTATATACTAGGGGCATTCCGTAAATAATGCCTCCTATTTTTTTGTGTTAATATGTAACGTCTGAGATGGATGTTGGTGGTGTTGTAGTAAAGGTTGAACCTTCCCGCCAATCTACTGTTAGTTTGGTTGTCGTGCGACAGATAACGACAGCAGAGCAGTCTACCAAAATGGTGTCTGACATAGAAGTGCGTATGAAACACAGACGTGTCATTGAATTTCTCACTGCCGAACAAATTGTACCCACTGACATTCATCGACACTTGCTAAAGGTGTACGGAGACAATACAGTGGAAGTCAGCATAGTGAGACGGTGGGTAGTGCGTTTCAACAGTGGCAAAAGTGAAGTGCACAATAAGCCACGCCCTGGGCATCCCTGCTCAGCTGCCACTCCTCACAATGAACAGCGCCTCATCCATACAGATCAGCAGATAATGGCCAGGGACTGTCAATTATGAACGCTACAAAATGACGCTGACTAAGCTGAAAGCCCACATTTCCCAAGTCAGGCCAAAGAAGCAGACAACCTTTTGCTTGCAACACAATAACACTAGACCCCATACAAGTTTGGCGACCACCGCGCACATTGCAAGGTTTGGCTGGGCTGTCCACCTTATAGCCCCGGCTTAGCACCTTCAGATTTCCATCTCTTTGGGCCTAAGAAAGATGGACTACGTGGGCAACATTTTCCAGACAATGATGATGTCATTGCAGCTGTAAGAAAGTGACTAGCCTCTGCTGGTGCAGACTTTTACGGGCGCAGCATACAGGCTCTTGTTAATCGCTGGCTAAAGTGCATAATGAATGGTGATGATTATGTGGAAAAATAACTGCAAGTAGCTGAAATCTTGCTCTATTTAACTGCATTATTATGCTTTCTGTATCTGTTGTAGTTTTCTTTAAAAAAATAGGAGGCATTATATACGGAACGCTGTAATATATCTACAGCAAGCAGCACCCCGCTATGGCTGACTGTTATATTTCTATGAGGCAGGACACTGGTCCCTTTGGGAGTGCTGACAGTTTGATCTTGAGTTTGAAACCAAAACAAACCCACCAAGGTCATGTCAGTGGTTCATTCGTTAGCTCTGAACAATGAAATCATTCATCATGGTACTGGTACATTTAGATATGATTGTTTATGACCTGGTCAGCCAAATAGAGCCCAGCTTTGTTTTGAGAACTGAGGAGTAAATATTCATCTGTGCTTGCAGATCGATGCTTCCAGAGCTTTCAAGGATTGGTTTTCAGTAGCGAATTATCAGTTAGGAAGTCAGTGTTGGATTGTCATATATTTCTCTATCAGTTAAAAAGTCAGTGTCAGACTCATATATTTCTTTATATATTGTGACATGTTGCGCAATGGAGGACAACCCCTCCCTACCCAGTAGTGACGTGGCAGATGAGTCAGCGCTCCGTCCCCCCCCCTCCATGGTGACGTAACACGGCGCGAGTAAACAGCGTTGCTAGGCTATATGCAAACATGGCGACGTGGCACCTGTTCCTACTGTGACAAGGCACTCATTACGTAACAGGCAAGCACAGCCGCTGGAGTTAGTTAACTTGTAGCTGTCCCCGGAGAGAGTTCTCCAGTCAGCAGCCTACAGTTGGAGTATAGCAGCGTTCACGGAAAGAAGAACCAGACGTGCGTGATACAGGGACACTTACATAGCTCCCATACTGTAAACGTGTAGACTGCTGAAGACAGAGGGAAGAGATTATTGCAAATAGGGTTATAAAGTGTGAAACCCCGCAACAATGTTATAATTAATTGTAGCTGTTACTTGTAGGTTGCTGAATAAACCAATTAACAATCTCTATGGCGTCTTCAGTAACGAAACACGTTACAATATCATTTTTATTTTGTGTCTTGGAAGAGGTATAAACCTACTGAGCCAGCATTACTTTGTGAGTAAAAGGAATCTTCGCCAATGTGACTTTTGGTATCAGTGTTGGACTGGCACACTCTTCGACTAGTATTATAATTACTTTGCATCAATATTTTGTGAGTATTACTAACAGGTGAGTGTGTTGTTTTGTCAATCAACATAATTTATTCAATATTGCTGGAAACCCCCCTCCCACAAGATGATTCTTCAATTGTACAAGAATGTACAAGAATGTCAGTGGCGTTTCTCGGGGGAGGCCAAAGTTATCTGGGGCCCAACTGAGTCAACCGGAGGTGAAACATTCACAACACTGGCCAACCAAAGGGAAACAAAGACGTCGTGTGTTTCGCTAAATAACAGAAGCAGGAGCACCATTCTCTATTGTAAAAAGTGTGATGTTGCAATGTGTCACAGACTGCTTCGAAAAGTGGCACACGCACATCAGAGTGTGAGGTATCGTAAACTTTGAAGTGGCGCAGTTCAAACTCACGTACAGTCTGAACAAAATATTAAGGCTAAAAAAAAACTACATGTAAGTCCTCTGGAATTTCATAACATAATAAAGATTACATTCTGCAGTTCATGACAAAATAATGACAGTTAATTTTCGTTTGTAAAAATTGCTCTTTTGTGTATCTGTATAAAATTTTATTGTCTCTCAGATTGTTTTTAGTTTGTATTTCTATGTTGCACAGACTGGAAAATATTGATTTTTTTCTGAAAGTTTGCAATGTTAAAGACTTGGGCGATTTAAATTCTGGCCGCAGAGAGCTGCTGGCAATTTAAAAGTCTGTACGTTAAATGTTAAGATGCATGAAAATTTCTGTACTTGATGTATGAGAGAAAACAGCAACAACACATTCCATGCAGCACACTGGAGATTTGCATACCCAGTTTTGTTACCTGACAGAGGCATGGAACTGTTTCTGACCATGAATTCATGTGAGAGAAAATTCATGAGCCAACATGAAACTGTTTAGTTAAAAACATCTTTACTTTCATTCACTTCCATACAGTATACTCACTATGACAAGAGAGAAGACATATATGTCAATAAATCAAGTCTTTTATATGTATACAGTGGCCGTCCTGTAGTGCACACACTTCACAACTGTGAAGTGACAGGTGAAATTGTGTGCACTACAGGACGGCCACTGTATACATATAATGGATGAAAATCAGTACAACAGGATGATAAAACATAACAAAACAAGTCTATTTAAGTATCCTTAAAGTATAAAACATTTAATCATGAAATGTCCTTATGAACCTACATAAAATTATACTTAAGAGAATAAAATATTAATGCAAGCACAATTCATTTCTTCTTCCGATCGGCAGTGCACTTTGGGCAAAACCATTTCCCTTTGGGTTTAGTGGTCAACCCAACACAAGCAAAGTGGAACCATTCAATTGGACACTGAAAAAGAAAGCACAGTCACAAACCAAATCTATTACTGTATGTATTCAAATACCATAGAAAGAGACACCTGCCAGGGCAAGAAAGGGACATACTTTCATTCTTAACACTGAGATAAAGGACCTTACCACACAGAATTACTAGTATGTAGTAATTATTTTGAGTTATGTTATACTTTATAATTTATGCCAATAGAAAGTGCATACTTGTGTAATTTGTAATGTATATTAAGCTGTACACAAAGTAAGATTTGCCTTGCTTCACTGTTATTCCTCACCTAACTAAACATCCTGGTGGTGGAATGGAAAGGTTCAGCACTGTTTACAATAAAGACCCCACTAAGTCACTTCCATCCACCTCTATCATCACAACCCTTTACACTCTTCCAACGGCTGTTTCCCCAACAAAAGAAGAAAATTATGTATACATTCTATGTCGTCTCCCATCCTGCATATATGTTCAGATCATTACAGCCTCCTTCACTTCATTATCCTAATAATATTATGTGATCCACATAAATTATGTAGTTCTTGTTATCTAATATCCTAAGCTGATTGCTTACTTTAGCCACCTTAGGTCGAAATACCTTCCTCAGTTTGCTGTTCTTCCCTCAAAATAAGAGACCATATTTATCACCCATACCAAACAAATGTTAGGCTTACAGATATTTTATATATTCTCATCTTCATTGTTTTAGAAAGTAAAAAGATAATATTTTAACTAGACAATCAAAATTTCCATACATTATTTTTCTCCTGATTTTCTGAATCTTACTTGTACCTGTTAGCACTGTCTGAAACATTTTCAAGGGATTTACTGACAGCTGATTTTGGTGTCTGTGTCTGAAGAAAGTTGCCAAATTTTTGGAGATAAAGGATTTTAAACAAAGAAGCTGTATCAAAATACAGTCTGTATTTGTTACAAAGTCACAGATATTCAAAGTTAAATGGCAACAAATGTAACTGGAAGAAAATTTATTTACACAGCTACCATTAAATCTACAATAACTGTTTGAACTAATAATATGTTTCATCATAAATTTCATTGTTACAGAATTATGGACATTTGTAGTTGCATGGTGGTGCTTGGATCCTGTGTTGCATGCTACTTTTGAAGAATGATGTGTGAACTATGGCTTTTAAATTTAAATCACTTCATTTATGGATACTGAATGTCAGCTCAAGAGGTGCTGTTGAGGAATATCAACGATTACCATCACATGTCAAAGTCATGTTTACATTTTTCATTCATGAAGATCTTAGTTCATTGTATCCCTGATGATCAGTCTTTGAATCAGGCATTCTACTGAGGGGTTCCAGCACATTTGCATGATTTGATTACAACAGAATGTCCAGAAATATGGGAAAAAGTCACCTGGCTCCATCATAACACACATTCCCATACTGCCTGTCCTATGTGTAACTGGCAAAACAAAATAATATTCCTGTGGTACCACACACCCTCTATACTATCTTGATTTTGCACCTAAGGCTGAACTTAACATTTTCTTTTTTTAAATTTTCTTGGTGGTGAGTGGAGTCCAACTGGGTCCACTCAGCACGGCAGCCACTGATTGGCCTAGGAAATTGAAGTACTCACTCCTGGAAGAAGTTTTGACGATAAGGAAGACAACACTGAAGAAATGAATACAACATATGTAGTTATTCTGATAGAACAGTTTCAAGCACCCTTCCAGAAATGGCAGGAGTGCTTGAAATGGGCTAAACCATCTCAAGACTACCATGAAAGGGATACATTCTGGCAGAATGTGAAAATTTACATTGTTATTAGGTCAGACTGAACTTTCTGATAGGTCTCTGCATATATTGCCTTGGTTCCATTCAGTTGCTTTGTCACACAGAAACACTGGCCAGTTGTATAGTATAGCACATGGCACAAGGTTGTCAAACTTTGTCTGTGAAAAAAAAAACTTGGTATTTAATTTTCCATGCAATGATTAGTAATTATGCAAAATGCAATAGGAATTTCAATATTTCATTTTAGAGCATACCAAACATGTGCCTTGAAAACACGTCATGCAAGAGATTCCCAATGTTGGCAGCATTACCAACATACTGCATACCTCAAATGGCAACAATTCACACACACTGCCCAACATACAGAGTACATCAGGCAATGCTGAAGGGTGTCAAACCAGTGACACATCACTTCTCGCTAATAATTTTGGCATTATTTCCAGCAGTGCTGGTTTCTTTCTTTAATGATTCATCAGTTTCTCTGTTCTTTCCGAGATTTTCGGGTTGACAGGAACAAGTCACAACCCATAAAAATAACCATATACTCCACTTCTTCCCTGGTTGTCAATATTGTGGCATATAGACTCATTGCTGGGCAGAGACCTTGAAACAGATGAGTACAGCAATAAGCAGATAAACACCCGTTTCTAAGTTCTCAGGCAAACAATATCTAGTCTATTCCTAGGAAACCACCCATGACTCAATAGGATTGTTGGATGCCATGTTTTTTGTTGGGTCCACCATGCGGTCATATAATGAGGACACCAGTCGACTTGCTATGACTTGTCAGCAGTTCAGTTGAGAGAAGTGACGTGAAGTAGCTGGTTGGTGAGTGAGAGTTCAATTGTCAGTTTAGTTGAGCTCTGCAAGGAAGGCTGAGAAGAGATTGTGCTCTAGTTGGCAGTTGACAAAGAGTTCTGCACAGGCAACTGTGTTAAGGGTGTGAGAAGCTGAAGAATCTCCACTGTTAGAAATCGTTGCTAGAGAATAGCTGATGAAGACAGCAGGCTGGAAAAAGCTTAGTGGGTTCTGCTGTGATTTGTAAAATGTGGAGATTAGCGATAGCACTGTAATTACTCATGGTTCAGAGCAGTGTGTACAAGCGGTCAGTAAATCCAATTCAGCAACCATTCCCCGTCTATAGTCACATACCCCCAAAAAAGTGACAATATTCTGACTACCAGGGTACTGCCTTCAATATAACATACATCCAGTGAGGTGACAGACATGCCATGAAAGCAGTAAACAGATTAGTATATTACAAAAAAAGTGAGTCATATATCAGATTTCTATTGCACTTACATCTGGGTTATCACAGCCAATCATTTCCCCATATGACACCTGGTGACAGAGACAATATGTAGGCTCATTGGGGTCCACTGGCATGTCAAGTACATCTGAGGGATGAGCTATTCCAGCCAATCCGGGCAACACTGATGCCAAGCCAGTGTCTACACCTGCAAGTGCAGCTAATCCTCCAGAAGCTGAACTTGCGCCCGAACCTGACACAGTTCCACTGCTAGAGTTGACGCTGCCTTTCTTCTGTTTCTTCCGCGCTGCTTTCACAGCTTCCTCTTCAGAAGAACCACCACCAACACGTTTCTTTTTCTCCTTTTCCTTCAACTTTTTACGTCCTTCTGCAAGATACACATACTTCAAGACATGACAGAGCTCTGGGAGGAGGAGGGTGCATGTATTGCTGCAATGGCTTAAGGAACTCCTGTTCAGTGCTACTCAATTTAAGGTTATCCCCCATGTAACATTCTATTTCAAAGACACCAAGTCAGTAATCTCAATGCTAAATTTCCTCCACTTACGATTTTCCTCAGTTTAGTGTCTGAATCCACTGATCCACAAAGAAACCTTAAATGGGGATTTCACTAAATTTAGAGCCATTTATTATTAGGACACTACTTAAAACTGGTTCTCTTGATTTACACATACTGGATCAGCCAAAATTCTGGTACTGACTTTGGTAGACTGAATGCTATCAAGAATATAACACATGACATGTTTTTAGTCAGAAAAGTGTATATGGTACATGAGTAATGATTGTATATATGCTTTTAATTTTTAGTATCAAAATAAAGTTGAAGACCATACTCTTTGTTGATACTGAGTCTTCTTGGTTTCTAGAGTTGCTTAATGCCTTGTCTTGTATTTCTGCTTCAAATCTTGCAAGGTCTGAATCAAGCCGCCTGATGTGTTTGTCAACCTACAAATATGAAACAAATTATGTGTGACTTAATGACTGCAATACATATGTACCTATACAAACAGACCTGCTACTGGACACCATAAAAAAAAAAACTCCGTGGTTTTAGTCCACAAGCGAACTATACTGACCGAGTGACCACCGCTTGTCAGTGAAGTTAGTGCCATCTTTAGCTGATAGAGGGTGTTGCGTGGTCAGCGCAATAAATCCTCACGACCATTAATCTTGGTTTTCTAGACTGGAGCCGCTATTTCCTTCAAATAACTCCTCAATTATCCTCACAAGGCTGAGTGGACCCCATTCCAGACCCATTGCTTTTCAGAAAATCTGGTAGCACTGGGAATCGAACCTGGACCTCTAGACCACACTGGATACAATATAGGAAAAACTGCTACTGCTTTGTAAATCGGACAAAATAAATATATTAATAGTACAGGTGATCTGTTTCATGTGTAACTGTTGCACACTACAGGGACAGAGTACTGCCTTTAAAGGATGCAGGGGCAGGCAGCCTGTTGCTGTATCTTTTGTACTAGTAATTTAAGCCACATACTAAGAACTACCATCCCCTTGACCATAAAACTGTGAATGAAGGCTCAGCACAATTCACAAGTCTAAGAACAACAGGTACCTGCAACATATTTCATAAATAGATGCGAGTCCTTTTTGTCATATAAGACCTCAGTAACCAGAAATGCACCCAATTTTTGTAAGTGGGGTTTGGGCTCTACAGAAGTTGATACTTGGTTGAATAGTTTTCTTATATGTAATACCACCATAGAATAAACAACTAGTTTGATCAGAATCCTTCTTGCAAAGCCAATCTAGAAATTCCCTAAAGGTTTAGCATTGTATTTATGATATCTGCAACTGGGCCCTAACCGAAGCCAACTGAATCCACAACTTTCCACTTTCTCTAAAATCAGTAATTAATATGATGCCTGTCTATCCAGATGACCACCTGTGTGGTCTAGTGGTCAGTGTTCCTGGCTACAAATCCAGAGGTCCGGGTTCGATTCCCAGTCCTACCACATTTTTTGGGAGAAGTAGTGGGTCTGGAATGGGGTCCACTCAGCCTCGTGATGATAACTGAGGAGCTATTTCAAGGAAATAACAGCTCTTGTCTAGAAAACCGAAATTAATGGCTGTGGGGATTTGTTGCGCTGAGCACGCGACACCCTCTACCCACAAAAGTTGACACTAAACTTCGCCGACAAGTAGCGGTCGCTCGGTTGGTATGGTTTACTTGTGGACTGAAATCATGGATTTTGTTTGTTTTGTCCATCCACATATTTTTCAAGAAGTCTCTTTTTCCTTCAAGACTTTCAATCAAAACATACACATTTCTCTGTTCTTCTATGTGTGCTACATGTCCTGTTCATCTCTATTTGATTACTTACTAACATTTGGTGAACAGTACAACAGTATGTATGTATCAACAGGTGACCCACATAACTTCGAATGTTAGCATTTTAGCAGTGCCAAAAATTTTTAGAAACAAAACCAAAAGCCTAATCTTGTGGACCTGTTGCAAGCAAATTCTAATGTTAGGTTTTGAATCCTATTTCTACAAATAAATTTCTAAGGCTGGCAGTGCTATGCACCAAATAATATGGTGGTAAATTTTAAAATAGTGTGGGTTGCCTCACAACACAGAGCACAGGAAAAAAATTGTGAAGCTGCTATGTAATGTTTCATAGCAAGTCAGACTTTCAAGGTGATGTTTTGTAACTCACTGCCCAAGCCATAAAATGAGGACCATGATCAACCCTCTACAACCACCTATTCAACATATATGTAGTTAACCTTCAATCTGAATGTTATCTCCTGTGGGTGAAACCTGGGGATGCACCATGCTCTTGTGTGGGCTCATTTACCATGGTGTCATAAAGTAACATGAAACTTTCACACTATAACAGGCTTCACAGGACCAAAACTTCACATGATGAAAAAACAGATAAATTTATTTTTACACTAACTGCCCCAATTAAATAGGTCATGCTATGTGTAACTGAAACTGATTTTGAGGTATAAAATACCAGAGTTTCCACATGGGAAAACGTCTTTCATGCAGTCACTTGATAATTTATAATGGATCCAATGTAGCAACTGTTAAACAACTTTCATTATTTATTTCCTGTCATGCATATTTTTATTAAAATACCCTCGTTTGTTTTGAATAAAAGATGTCAATCTTGCATGTTTCTGTTTGAACTTCTACTACAGAAGCCAACAGCTGTCAGCTAATCAAAAAATTCCCTGCCTTTTACAGAACCTGAGGTTCATTACCACATACACAAAAATCCAGTACTGGACCCTTTCCTGCGCCAGATGAATCCACCTCACACCACCACAACCCAATTCTTCTTTAAGATCTTACCAACTCATATGTTTGAATAGCTAGCTGTACTTTGTCATCTCCATATTCCTTTGCCTTATTAAAAAGGCTCTGTATATTACTCATTTGTTCCTTCTTCTTTTCGGGTGTTAATGTCTTTACATTTCGAAGGTATTCGTCTGCTAAGCGGTCAATATTCCGCATTAGGGCTTGGGCCCTTGCATCTAAATCCCTCATTAATGTGAAGTTCCTCTGAAGCTCAATCGGCAGATGTTCCAAACCTGCAGGCATACAATAACTACATACACATCTGACAACAGAACTTCCATATAACAATCACTACCACAGTAAACATACATGTACTTACTGTCTAAGTAATGTTCCAAATACAGAGCAGACGTCATGATTGGAAAGCCTGTATTCCTGAACAATATATTCTGAAGCTCATATACAGCAACCAGAACGGCTATAGCTAATATAATTTATGTGCTAATACTTCCGACCACAACATCTGCCTACTTCAACGATATCATTCTCACGAAACAACGAACTCAAAAATCCCCATAAAATACACCAAACGCCATATCCGCATTTGACTTTCCTACCACCATTTTCGTATTGAGTAGTGTAGCCAATATCACGGCTCGCGAATACTTCTATGGAATATCAATGTGACCAACACCTGCTACTTAATATAAATGACTTAAATGACTAACGGAACGAAAGAAATTCCTTCTTTTGACGCTTCGTGATAATCGCCACTTAAGCACAATTGATCCACAGATTTGACCTGACCGAGTCCGTTCAATCAGTTCACATCTCACATAATACTCAAGGGCCCGTGCTTTGTCACTAAAACAAGAGTATCCGGCCGAAAATATGTGAAGAGAGTCATACTGGACATTATACCGAAAGATCCATTGAGACAGCGTGAGGGCTAAGCAATTCCCCAGTATGGAACACCTCAGTTTGATTGCACCTGAAATCAATTCAATCCAGTTCACTTTCCCAATTTACTCCTTCGCAAGTACAATCGTAGCCATGCGTCATATATGTGTGTATTTAATATGAGAATGCAAGTAAAATGAGACATTCGCGTAGGACATCAGGAAAGAACCACAGATTTAATTTTCAAAATAAGACGTACTGAACAAATACTGATTTTAATATTTCAGAACTCAGACCAAAAAGAAGAGAAACCGTGGGTTTCGCGCCGTGGATGTGCCGAAAATGCTCGTAGCAAGATCATGGTTGTGATAATTCAAATGAAATGCTGTATAGCAAGTTATAAGTTTTGCACCAAACATAAGACGAATAGTGAAGTGTCCATTTAAGTGTGATAATTGTCTCAAACGTTCTGCAACTAGTATACTCAATATACGAATGCCGTCACTACCGGAAAACACAATTATGAAAGAACTATACTTTGCCATCTCACTCAGTAAAGCGACTGGCTGCGGTCTTGATAACAGGGATTCAAAATCTCTCAGGGTTAGGGATTCTCAGAGGCCCCACGTCAAGACTGGCTGTGAGATCAACACAGCCAACCATTAACTACGTACCGGGATCAAAGCGGCCGGAGCGTGAAACTAAGTGCTCATACTTACGCAGTGTCGAATTCAAGAATACGCTGAGCTTTACTTTAATCTTTTCTCATACGTCTCACTGGAGCGCTCCTTTATATCTATTTATGAACCTTAATGTAGTTGCCAGAAATTAAAACAAGGCCTAAGATCTCGTCACGAAATGCAAGTAAGTGACCTGTTTCAATCTTCAACTACCTTCATTTCAAGCAAACGTTTTCCGGAAAGAGGCCACTTTGAAATCCCCGTTCCAGGCTGCGTACAAAACCCGTGAGGGATTAACGCCTGGTCATTCGATTCTTAGTCCACCGCTTTATCTTGTGAGCCACAAAGGCTCTCACGTACGACGTGAATAATTCAACAGATCCAACTACGGTCACATGAGAGTACAGAGATCTATGATACATGACGTAAGAACGAGAACATGTCCTATTAACACGGGGCCAACTTGCGCAAACTCGGCAAGGTTGTTGACCAAATTTGGAGAGGAGTAATACTAGTCATAGTTGTATCAAATATAGTAGCAATTTAGAGGTCAAGCATGTCAAAGCTAAAGGGATTGTAAAACACTTCATGAGTTCTTGCACGAAGCGTATACAACAGATGCGCAGTAGAAAAGTAGTTCCGTTCGTGGCAGTAGAAAAGTAGTTCCGTTCGTGACATGTTTCATATTGATCTGTATCGGGTATCGATGAAGTGTGGACACAGAGTTGCAAAATGATTTTATTTCTGTATCTGTCCACTATTTCATGTGAACCTCAAGTGAAACTCATGGAATCTCTGAAAATATATCAAATAGGCCTCATAATAAAAATTCGTGCGTAACGTGGTATATATAACGGGCCTACATGCAAGTTGAATCTGAACTAATTTTCAGTATAGTGTATGGACATGCTTAACGAAATCTGGTAACGTTAAGATATTTGGGAACGGCAGCAACGAGTAAATGTTACACTCATCAAGAAATTTAGAACAGAATTCTGGGAACGCCTGCTGCTATTTAGTTCACAATCTTTTGCCTCCCTCCTCCTATTTTGGAACTAGAGATTAAAATGATAATGATAATAATAACAGAAATAATAATAATAATAATAATAATAATAATAATTAGAATTTAATTTAATGCAATTTTACAATTTCTTTTAAATGAGTATGAAACCTGGTCTCTCGTTTTGAGGGAAGAGGGTAAATTTGGCGTGTTTTGAGACAGAGTGGTCAAGAAAATATTAGGACTTAAGAGAGAGTACGTAGCAGGGGATGGAGTAATTTTGATGATAAGCAACTTCGCAATTTTTGTTCATCAAATACTATTTCTCTCCCTCTCTCTCTCCCTATGGTTTTACAGCCCTTTGGAACTAGGCCACTTTTTGGGTCTCTTCATCCTATACACAGTCGGTAGAACTGGTTGGACAGGGGATCAGCCCGTCAAAAGGCCGCTACCTACACACAGAACAATAGAAACAGAATAAATGCACACAGACATCCATTCCTCGAGTGGGATTCAAACCCACGATCCCAGTGTTCGAGCGGGCGAAGAGGGTTCATTCCTTAGACCGCGTGGCCACTGTGATCGGCATCAAATACTATTAAGCAAGGAGGTGGGGCATGTAGCACGCAAGAAAACTATTAGAAATGTTTACAACATTATAGTTGGAACTCCTGAATGTAAAATATCCGTGCAAGACCCAGGCGCAGATGGAAGGATGACACTTAAATGGATCTTAAAGGAATAAGGTGTGAGAATCTGAACTGGATTCATCTGGCTCTGTATAAGGCCTAGTTTCGGGCTACTGGGAGCTCGGTAATGTGTATCCGTGTGCTATATGGCAGTGTCTACACGCGCACAAAATGCGTCCGTTGTAACGAACGTCGTGACGTCCGTTGTAGAAATAAACAAGAGAGGCGAATGCTCCGCTCCATTGCTCCATTGCAGACAAAAAACTACGCATCGCATTCTGCAACTGTGTGGTGACCTCAGGAACGCCCTCAGCAAAGTACGTTCGTTACAACGGACGCATTTTGTGCGCTCGTGTAGACGCTGCCTTAAAGGTGATATATTTCTTGACTAGATCAACTGTTACCTCCTCTAGAAGGATCCTTATTCCTGGAGTTAGAACCAAATTCCAGATAATTGAAGGGAATACAGGATCGTTACTGACTTCACACTAACCCGCAATTGGGCCGTTTTTGTCAGTTCATTCCAGCCCTTAACAACATTTCTCTACGATTAATGTTAATATCATCTTCTCACCTACGCTTAGGTCTCCCAAACCGCCTCTTAGTCTCTGAATTTCCGACTAAGGTGATTCATACAATTAGAAACATTCCAAGATAACTGATATTTCTTTTGAATCAGGAATAAATAATGAAAGGTTGGTAGGGTATATTCATTTATTCCTGGAAATAATCCGTTTTTCGTATTACGAGTAATATAATGTCCGACATTGCCATCTTCTGAAATGTGTTTGACACAACGTTTGAAGAGGTAACTTTAATACTAGATCGTTATTGCTGCCCTGAAGAAGGGAACAGAGCCAAATCTCGAGAATTCGTGAGCGCAAAATAGGCTTACCTCAGACAGGGGATAATATACAGTATTAGAAACGAATGAAAAAACAATCGACGCACACTTACAGAACAACATAATCAATTCTGATAAAGTAGGAATTCTTTAGGCTTGAAATAAGTACCGCTAAGTGGACCATTGTATTCTTATGTGATGATAGAAGACCCTGCGGGGTACTATGATGGAGTGAGAGCCTTTGTTCTACCGGACAACCTTAACATGCACCTGTTGCGAGCTAGTCTGTTCGGCATATGCGGAGACGAGGTTGAGGGAATTTGAGGAATGCCGTCTTCTGGGCTGTAGCGCCGTGTAAATCTTGTGTACACCGACGTTTCGGAGGAACGTATCGCCTTCCTCTTCAGGGTAGAAAATCCGCGAGCGAGGAACCAGCGTGAGCAGGTGGCTGCAGACTGGTCTGAGATCGAATTGCTAGCCCTCCTGCTGCATATTCGGAATGTCCTGGGCTCATACCCAGAGAACGTTTTTTTTTTTATCTTTTCTCAGTCACTCCAGGCAAATGCCAGGATAGTTCCTCAAGTTAGGCCACGACCGCTTTCTTCTACAGCTTCTTCCATTCATTATTCATTAATCATCTTACCATTCGAAGTTACATAGTCTGAATTATTAGCAACATCGTTAACTAACCCATAAACATAAACAGATGAATACGGCCGATCAGAGTGGCCGTGTGGTCTAAGGCATGAACCGTCTTCATCCTCTCAAACACTGGGATCATGGGTTCGAATCCCACTCGAGGCACAGATGTCTGTGTTAGTGTCGTCCTGTGTTTAGGTAGCGGCCTTGCGATTGGCTGATACCTCGTCCAACGAGTCCTACCGACTGTGTATATGATTAAGAAATTGAAAAAGCGGCTAAATTCCAAAGGGCTGTAGAGCAATGGAGAAAGTAAAAACGATAGGAAAGAAGATAAACATTGAAGGAATGTGATATTGTGGAATGGAGGTTACACTGTGAGTATTTAAACCATTTTTAATTCAGACCGTGTTGGAGTAATATATTTCGCATCTATCTATCTATCTATCTATCTATCTATCTATCTGCAGTCCATTATTGGAACTTGGCCGGTTTTTCAGCCTCTTAATCCTGTACACAGCCAGTAGGGCTCCTTGGATGGGGCTGAGCCCGTCGCAAGGCCTCTACCTACACAGAATAACGCAAACACAGAACGAACGCAAATAGACATCCATGCCTTGAGCGGGATTCGAACAAACGATCCTAGCGTTCGAGCGAGAGAAAGCAGTTCATGCCTTAGACCGCGCGGTCACCGCGATCGGAAATATAGTCCCTGCTTTACATAAAACTCGAAATGGGCTTGAAATTTCTCAAAAGTCCTCATCATATACAAAAGTGACACATGAAGTAAATCATAGATAGGTCTATCATTGAAACAGAGTGAAATCTGTCCACTTTGGTCACCTAGGGTTGCATTAAACCCGGCCTGTTTGAGCAGAGAGCGTATGAAGATATCTATTACAAACGAATGGGCAATTGTATGTATAATTTTGTATTTAGACGTCAGTTGCGTGCATTTTATGAGTCACTGGAACAACCCCGCGCTCCTTTCTTCCTTTTCTTCACGGAATTATAGCTTGGCCCAAGTAAATTATATTCTTACCTTGTAGAACACTGTGATTCGATCCATGGTTACCTGGATAATTACCTGCATTCAAAATTATGTAGCATTTGTGGCGTTAAATACAGTGACCAGCAACCGTATCACATGCCCGTATAAGGGTATGGTCTTCTAAGAGGTTCTGTTGAACGCTTTGGCGAGCAGTCAGAAGAATTTGCCTGCTCATTGAGAGTTCCGCATATGTGCGGAAAAACATCATATGATAATGCAATATGTGAGTTCCCCTCTAGGAACAATTTCCAAATTTGCCACGATTTTCCTTTGCAAAATGCTAACTAATCACTAATGTATTACTTCATTCTGCTGTCTTTTCTGTATCATGAAACCACTTTAAATAAATCGGTGCAAACGCAGGTTCAGGTTCTTGCTCTCACCAGCAGAGTTGTTCTTGGTTTCGGGTCCCAGCATGACCAAACTTTTGTAACGACTGACCTTGAGTACGTTACCTTGGAAATGAAGTACTGTAGATTGTTGTTCAGTAGACCGTCGGTCGCTATTATATAAGTTATGACAAGAAGAGAGGGCCCCCACATCTTGGGTCCCAGATGGGGCTTAACACCAAGACTGACTTGCCGTCGGTTGTAACGTGACTCTGACTTTGACTTTGACTTGACGTACTCCCATTTACGCCTAGGACGACAATCATGTGTGGAGCTACTTTTTTCTCCCTGTATGCTGCATGCTCTTTTCATGTAAACTATTTTTATTTAATCACTCTAACAGGATATACACAATGTTTCACGACTTTAGGACATAACCGCAGGAGGTGATTTCCTAGGTCTTTGTGATCAAAAAAGTTCATATAAACATGTGTCCGATTTTGGACGATTACGGAGTTATGACCGTGTTTTCATTCCCGTACATGCCCTCGTACGAACCGCGTCTATCAGCTGGCAGGTCGCTATTTTTAGCCAGCTACAGACAGAGCGTTCTCGTTATTTCGACACTTGAGAGCTACGTAAGGCGGGGTGGGTTGGCATGTCCGGCGCGGTTCACAACCGAGCGGCAGCCTGTGTTGCGGCCGGCGGTGACATTTTCGAAAATCAGCTTTAAGCACCAATCGATTCAAATTAAAGATAATTTCACGAAGTTAACTTTCCATTCATACTTTAAATGTATCATGTATTATGCTGGTTTATTATTTTGTTCCGTTTATTGTCAGTAATCGTTACCTTCTATTCTGAGTTTAAAATGGTCATAACTCCGTAACCGTCCAAAATCGGACACATGTTTATATAACTTTTTTGATCACAAAGGCCTAGGAAATCACCTCCTGCAGTTATGCCCTAAAGTCGTGAAACATCCTGTATAACAATGAATGAACAGCGTTCGGTGAAGAGCGCAAATTATGAGCCTCTCTGCAGGCCTACGTAATTCAGCTGTCAAAGAAATACTGAAAGTAATCAAATTATTTTGCTTAAATACCTGTAATAAGTTCTGGAGGAAAGCTTAGAGAAATGTAAACATTTATTTTAACATCGCTGTCATCTGAATAATCTGCAAGTCCTTAGGCTGGGGACTTTCTTAAGAGACGAATAAAATAAATATTATTTACCGATGGTTCAAACGAATCCAAGTATAAATGTTACGACGGAGACATTTTATTCGTTTCTATGGGTTTCAAGAAAATTCTTAACAATTTTCTTCTATGTTCATTATTCCTTGACATTAAGGATGCATGGCATCCCCGCGCGTAAGTGTGCTTATTGGTGGGGTTAATCTCTCTCCCATTCACACAAGCAGCTTTTTATATGCCAATCAATTATATTTCATCCCTAGTTACAATAAATTGTGTACCTTCACCACTGGCAACATCAAACCGGCGCCAGAAGTTTCTGGGGTGGGAATCACTTGATGATTTAGTGTACTGTTTGAAGTATGTACAGCTACTACTTCACAGAATTACTGGGTTTTTGGACTTTTTCCATTGTCCGAAAGTCTAGAAAATAGAAAACACGAAGTTTCGGAAACTGGATATATTTCTGTTCTCAGGTGAAGGGAGGAAGACACCTACTCATTTGGACCCTTTTGAAACTCAGTAGGTTTCTTCCTCCTCACCTGAGGAAGAAAACAGATCCAGTTTTCGAAACGTCGTGTTCTCTCTTTTCTAGAATACCGGACGATGGAACAAGTCCAGAAACCCAGTAATTCTGTGTGTTATACATCACAGTCAGAAGTCTTTAGAATCTACCAACCACTATACTTACTTAGTTTCAGGCACACCTCCAGTAAAAGTAAAGTAAAGCTATACCTGTAACAGGCCGTGAAGGTCCATAGGGTTGTGAGACGTCGAGGCCCCCACATTATCTAGACAATCGGCTCAAAGTTGGCGGTACGGTTGTCAGCCTTAACCGCCGGCCGCGCTCAACTCCCCAGGAAATTTATTTATTTAATTCCTGGTACTCATTTCTGTTAGAGGCTGAGTGACCCCCAGGGCCATAGTGCGGATTAGGTCAATTGAAAAAATCCAATTACCTCATCGGTATTTGAACCCGCGACCTTCCGACTTGTGAGCTGAAATATGTGGTGACGGATTCTACATAACGCATAGAACTATAATAGTCATTTCTTCCACAAACAACATTTCAGGTCGTTCCTTTTCTGTACCTTTCCTCCGAAAACTGAGAATATTCATACATGCATACATTGTACATACATACCTATCTACGTACATACATACACACACACATACATACATACTACATACATACATATAAATGTTCGGTTGGACAAGGCAATTTCATGATCCACTGAAGCTAGCTTTGCGAAATTTGAATTCGCAACCTCGCCGCAACTTCTGTACGAAACACACTTTTACTGTATTAAAATCCGATAGGTAAACCGTGCACATGTTTTACGGTATGTCCCATAAGTCTTCAATATTCTGCTCATTTGAAGTACACATAAAGGAGACGCTCCTGCTTATTTTAACTGTGTTGTATAATTTTCAATTTACAAACTAGGTACACCTCTTATTTTGGATGAAGCACTTAAAACGGCGTCATAAATTTCTAGTTCAGTTCATTTTAAAATAGAATAATCCAAACCTTGATATTTTATTTATAAATACATTGTAACCCTAGCATAAGTTACAGGCTTCAGGTAGATTTCCGATATCGTACACAATGTAAATTGACCTCTATTTACTGGAGGGAAAAACTCACTAATGGGCAATTTTTATGGCACCTTTCTCCTCTCGTAACCGTTATAATCCTACCTTAATTCTTACATGCATTATCACCGCCCATGACGTATGCATTGGGCCCGAAACAACCAATCCTGCGTCATCCTTCCTCCTAAAATCTTACTGAATTATCAGTGTTTCATTTTAAGGCAAAATCTCGGTGTCTTTAAAAACACAAAAATAGACGTTTTAATAATACGGCAGTAAGCCAGTCCCGCTCACTCAGTAAGATATAGCCGCCGCCTCTGCCCATCGAAACGTCCGCAAATTCCGACACGGTTTAGACACCCGTCATGACTTTATGACCATCGGAGATGGGTTCTCGCAGTGTTCTTCTGAGAGAAGCGAGTATTGGATATCCGTGCTTGGCCTCTAAAATTTCAGCAGATTTCTAAAATGTTAATATAGTTGCCCACCCTTGCATTAACCTCACGTTCATCGCGTTTCTTTCTAATCAGCGTTGGATAACTTACACGCTCTGATACGACAGATGAACATCGTGAAGTAGAGTACTTTAATGCGAGATGAAGAAGAGATTAAAATACTTCCACCGTAGCCCAGTGAGTCATAGAAGGCGATGAAAATGGAATCCAGTGACTGGGCCTATGACTGGGGGACCCTGTCACTCAGGGACATAAATACACAGCTCTGGTCCTTCAGGTTGAGGGTTGGGCGCAGGGCTGACGATCGTGCTTTTGTTTTGAAATCCAAAGAAGGGAAAACCGGATGGCAAACCTGGTGGAACCTTTTAAGGAAGGCTGTGGTTCAAAAAGAGCAGTCCTGCCAATGATGATGATGATGATGATGATGATGATGATGATGATGATGATGACGATTATTATTATTATTATTATTATTATTAGTGTTATTAGTGTTATTAGTATTATTATTATTATTAAACCCTGATCTGTTACGTGCTCAAGATAAAATCTTAATAGCAGACTACTGTGGACATGAAGATTTCTGTATCCTGAGATGTAACGCCGTGTAGTCCGTTGACGTTATATCCCGAAAGAAGACACTATTCATAACCACCGATGTGAGAACTGAAATCCTGCTCTTGTGTACATGATACTAAATCTTCGGACTCTGTGATAAGCCTCTCTTGACTACCCAAGGAGTATCACATCCTTGATCTTCTTCATTGTATACGTTCATGTTATTCTTCGTTGAAGGCTTACGCGTATTCTTTTATTTGAGGAAACAGACACCTCACGCACATCGCGTGGAGTACGAGCTCAATTAGCCACGCTTCTGCAACTGACCTGCACCGGTATAGTTTAAGGTCATTGTTACCAGCTCCTTAGAAGCAACGTTTATGGTGCCATAGCAAGTCTTTCAGATGTGTACGCGTTCTTAATTAGTCACGGAGAAATGCCCGAGCTACCGGTTTGCTCTAATTAATAAAGAGACCTCGTTCGAAGCAATTGTTGTACGCCTGGGGCAGGTTCCTGGATCGTCAAAATGGCAATTGAATCGTCTGTTTTGAGAAGGGCACAAGTAAGTAATTTGTACATATTCACTTTTATTACGGATTTGCTTTCCAAATCAGACACTTACAGCATATCTGAAAATGGCACAAGTCGAGCGATGCATTGCTGCATTCATTTTGAAAACGGTTTCAATGACTACTTCTGATGCATAATAAAAATGGGTTATACGGGATTAATTTTGAAAGGGGCATGAATCATAAGAGAAAATAATTTCCAGGACTCTGAAATAAGATTTGTTAAATAAAACATTATTATTTTATTGTAATACTAGCTGCACTCTGTGTAATTACGCATTGCTAGCAGATCTTACAGGTTGTTAATTAAATATCAACGCATTGCATTTATGTATTCGTATTCGTCTCATTCGATGCATTCGGTCATGTGACTCAGAAAATGGGTGAACTTGTGGCAGAGACTCGTCCAGTTGTAGCATTATTTGGGTCACACACAATTCGTTTCATTTGTTTTTGAGCCACTTTGTTGTTCCTTCATTACCTCGTTTAGATATAGCTCTGAGAACAAATGGTAAGTCCGGCTGTGCACCTGGAAACAATATGGACCATTTTAAGGTGGCAGTTTAATCCCCATATCCATTTATGCAAATTCCGTTACTTAGTTCTAGTTTCATATATGTTCTCTACAGTAATTTGTTTCGCCTGTATCCCCTGTAAGAGACTGTCAAACGGCGCCTCCATGATATTTGACTAGTTTTGAAAAAAGATAGTGAGTCAGGAGGGAAAAAAATATCAATTCAAAATATTCGGAAATAAAATGTATTCAATAAAACATTAATACCTTGTTATTATAAAACCGCTAATTATTTTTAATAAACTGTATGACATGAGTTAATTTTGAAAATGTAGCGATATGAAGAAACAATAATTTGTTTACAAATATGATTTTGTGATGGAGTAGACAGTTCACCTACAGTAAAATGGTAACTTTGAAACACAGCAGCAGTGAAACTAATTCTTTCTTTGTAATACAAAGTCTGGTTCCAGCAACTCAAAACCTTCTCATAATAAATGATTCAGTTAATTTAATGGATGATTTCACATTGACTATATCCAAAGTCAAAATTGTTAATTATTTTTGTTTCTGACAGCCCGCATCACGTTTCGTAATATCTTCGCATGCTCTTTGCACGAATGAACACAAAGTGGAACGGTCCCTTCGTTCGCACGATTCATCCCCTGAATAAATGAAAAGATCTCCGTTTTTAATTTGGCAATAGAATAATATACTATTATAGTATATATCGTCAAACGGTAAGATGATTGATGAATAATGAATTGGAAAGAATGCAGAAGGATTCCGTCACGGCCCAAATTGAGGCATAATCTTGGCTTTTACCTGCAGGTACTAAGGAAAATCGCGATAAATCTCAGACAAGGAATAGTATCTCCGGGTTCCCTCGTACACCAGACAGGACTGGTGCTCACTCGATCGCTACGACGTTCGGTGTATATCATAAAATATGCTCATATGGGCTGCTTACTGATTGTATTTCGATGTATAAATTTTATTTGGCACTTTCTTGAAGTCAGAATAATTTGTATTGCTATAAGGACTAACAGGACTGTCTCTGTGGTCTAGTGGTCAGCGTTCCTGGCTACAGATCTAGAGGTCCAGGTTCGATTCCCGGCGCTACCAGATTTCCTGAGTAGTTCGTCTGGAACGGGGTGCACTCAGACTCGTGATGATAATTGAGGAGGTCTTTCAAGGAAATAGCGGCTCCGGTCTAGAAAACCGAAATTTTTGGCCGTGGGGATTCGTTGAGCTGACCACGCGACACCCTCTATCCGCAAAAAGTTGGCACTAAACTTTGCTGACAAGCGGCGGTCGCTCGGTCGGTATAGTTCGCTTGCGGACTAAAACCACGGAGTTTGTATAAGGAGTAACAGTCCTATCTGTGAAGAATGCCGTCTTCTGGGACGTGGTGCCGTGTAGATTTTGTGTAAACCGACATTTCGGAGGAACGTGCCGCCTCAATCTTCAGGGTAGAAAAATCCGCGAACGAGGAACCAGCGTGAGCAGGTGGCTGCGATACATTCCTCCCAAACGTCGGTTTACACAAGATCTACAGGCCCCACATCCCAGAAGAAGGCATTCTTCATAGTCACCGCCGTGAAAACCTCAAATCTTACATAGTCCTGTCTGTGTCCTTGATTAACTTTATCGGCTTCAGACTGAGATCTTGTGGGTTATGGCAACGTGTAGTTTCACATATGGTTGCCAAAGTTTCGGAGGAATCTTCTTCGTTCATCTTCAGGGTGCCTCAAATCTTAGCTTTATCAGCCATAGTTTTAAGAATCTCATGTAGCGGATAATCTCTGATGTTTATCTCAGTCATAAATACTCGTAGACTTATGTGTGGAATAAATGAACAGCATAATCAATTCAGTACGCAAGCTCACGAAGCCTGCATTTGGGAAATATCTACACTCTAACATTGACTACACTTCACTGTCTGTCACTACAAGAATATGTTTTATTCCAGCGAAGTTCTCACACTTCAGCTCTCTAAATCCTGTTCATAATTTGAAAGTCTGCGGTAAAACATTACATTGTGTAGACCTTCCTACCGAAGAGAAATAAAGCGACAGCCATTGTAAGAGGTTTACATGATATTGTTTAGTGGGGATACTGTACTTGTATGTTACAGAAATGGTAAGACGTTGCGTTACTAGGTCAGGGGCTGGCCGGTTTTCTGCCTACCCATGTGAACAGTCCGTATTTAAACAGAGAACCGCTGCACGTTCCTCATCATTCCAGATTGTCAGGTGTTCAGTGTTTGTTGGTGCCTCGACTGCTATTTTCTCATATTCAAATTGTTTAGAGCTTAGAGTAAACCACAGATTTTTGTTCTGGTTGCTTCTTAAAGTTGACTAAATATTTCGAAGATGTGTGACGATGATGTGGCTGCTTTGGTTGTTGACAACGGCTCTGGGATGTGCAAAGCTGGTTTTGCCGGAGATGATGCGCCAAGGGCCGTATTTCCATCCATCGTTGGGAGGCCTCGTTATCAGGTGAGATCATTCATTCATTCCAGCATCAGAGTTACTGAATGTGAATCCATAATATTAGGAAGAAGGTAGGTTTTATTGTTCGTATTAATGACCATATTTATGGGTGGCGGGGCTACTTACAGGACACTGTCACCTTAAAGGACACCTCTTCAAACTGGGACTAAGTGATAGTCCCACTTGTGAGAGGTGTCAAGAAGAAAATGAAACAGTCACACACATCCTGTGCGAATGTGAGGCCTTACCTCATTTAAGACTACGTCACTTGGGTCAATATTTTATGGAACCAAGTGATTATTTCGACGCCCCCACGTACAAAATCCTGCGCTTTGAATGAAGCACAGGATTGCTGAGGGGATAATCAAAAGGGGAAGCACAATAGACCACTGTAGGTCGCGGCGCAAGGGCCTAGGAGGCCTACCCCTACCTTACTTCGATGAGTTACGTGGAATAGAATTCTTCTTTCCAAAACGGACAATCACTTAGATGGTCAAGAAATTCTCAACTGAATCATGTTCTCAGAAGACAAGGACTAGCTCTGTTGATGGGCTCAACTGAGTTGGTTTTCTCATGAAGACGGAGACAGAATGCACTCTCCGAAACGTTTTTTAAATAATAAACAGGACGATGGGTAATGCCCAGAAACAAAATTATTTTATTAATGTACCATGGTCAAAAACTTTTAGAGCTTATATAGACGTAATAGTGTTTGACGAAATTTATAGAACACTCCGAGATAGATATTTTCGTATTATTTGCTTTATATTTCTAACAGCAAGAGATTTATTTCGTTTTGAGATATCTGATGAGTGTAAAGAAATTCCCCCCAATTTGTTCTTATAAATGTACTGTATATATCAGTTGTAATTCATTTCACTTCACATAACAATATACTGGTTCAACTAGTAACCACTTCGAGGTAAGAGAAAAAAAAAATGTGTAAAGAATATTACCACTGGGTGTAACTGTGCTAATATATGGAGTTAGTTAGCTTTATCTAAACATTGATATTTCAGCAAAGTGTAGCTAATCTTCGTGTTCTTCTTTTTTGGTTGTAGATGAAGCCAATAAATAAATGTATTTTAATAAATAACTGTTTTATAGCTAAAAATATGCAGTATACTTCATGTTTACATAAGTCGATGGTGACCTTACGGCATCTGTGAAGGTAAGACCCCAGGCAAACAAGCATCCACTGTCTCATGCAAACTGAATTCTTGGGCAAATTGTGTCAGCAGAACTGTAATATGATTGGAGGTCGTGGGATAAAGCGGTAGTGGCATATTTAATTATACTAAGTCTGAAGTTTTCTAGGCCGAATGGGATAAATTATGAAAATATCCTAGAATCCAGTCATCTGGTCCTGACTTTTTAACGCATGAACAAGTTTAGTCTCTAGGGGAAAATAATGTTTGTCGTGCCTTTATTACTCAGCCCTTTTCTTTTTTGTAGTCCATGGTTCAAATTTTGACATGAGACACCCACAATCCTCACTGAGATCTTCATGGCTTTATTTAGTTCCTCCAGGAAAATCCCGGGAGAGTATTTCAAATTTTACTACGACCACTTCCTTCCATATACTTTTCAATTCATTATTCACTACTCAGCCTACCATTTGGAGCTATATAGACTGAACTGCTAACAGTGTCTTTAAATGAACCACAAAGTAGTAACATAAGCACGAAGAATGCCAGTCGTTTGGCATGCTACGTTACCTTCAGCATTGTTACCGAGTTGCGTGTCTTCTGTGAGGGCAAGCAAACTAATAATGCAAGCATTTATATACATTGCCTGGCTTGTTATAATTAATCCTAGGTGGAGTATCTTAAAATAAACACAAGCCTTCTAGAAAATTGGGGTTTTCAGAAATTTGAAGGATTTCCTAATATCACCTAGAAATAATGTTCACTACCCACATTTAAGTAATATTATAGGACATTAGTAAGAATAACAGAAGACAGCTTTATTGCTCGTTGGATGTGTGTAGAATAATATATGGAGCTCATATCGAAACAAAATACCCAGAATAAAACAATTACATTGTCATTTGCGTGTATTCGGTATTATCGAATTCAGTAAGTATTCAAATTCGTGAGATTGGTGTTATTTTATGAAACTAATGTATGCACTTGTGTCTTTCGTTGGTAGGCCATAACCACTTTCATTCACACCCGTCAGGGAGTGAGTCATGATCTCTTATGGATCTACAGGAATCGTTGTACATTCTTTCCACTTCATTATTTATTGTCATCCAATAATTATGATCCTGTATATTCTTTAGTTAGTTAGTTATTGGGGAGGGTGGGTTTCACCATGCACTTAGACCAGTATTGGTCTATTGTGCTTCCTTCTATGATATTCTACCAGTCTCTATATCCTACCGATATTGGTGCTAATAGAACTTTTAAATAAACTATACATAAATAAAAAGAGACAATTCGTTTGAAATAGAGTAACGATTGTTTAACTCATGTTTCTAATTTATGTGATTTGTTGCTCAGGGTATAATGGTGGGCATGGGGCAGAAGGATAGTTACGTTGGAGATGAAGCCCAATCTAAACGAGGTATCCTGACAGTAAAATACCCCATTGAGCACGGTATTGTTACCAATTGGGATGACATGGAAAAAATCTGGCATCATACGTTCTACAACGAATTGCGGGTGGCTCCTGAGGAGCATCCTGTGCTGCTTACCGAGGCGCCACTTAATCCAAAGGCGAATAGAGAGAAGATGACGCAGGTACGCATGTTGACTGCCACTCGCACCCTGGCAGCCACTGTGTTTTGCCATAACCAGATAATTTAACAACTAACATTTCAGACTTACTTGGCAACTTAACGCCCATTATTTGTCATCCGTCAATATTGCAACACTCTCCCATCCATCACTCAATTTATAGTTTAACATTATACACCTTGACACTACATGTTTCGGCCCCAAAGAGCCATCTTCAGGTGTCTTGATATGTTACAGTTTTACAAATGATAAAACAATTCCGTCCAGTGTGACTGTTGAAGCCTTTACTACTTCACTTCTTAGCAGTACTTACAGTAAAAGCAACACAGCACGCTACCCACAAACATAGGACGACAGCAAGAACTACCTTCCCAAGAAAGACATGCGGCACAAGTTCGGCCCTGTCAAGAAAAACGATAGGACAAGGGACATGAACCTATTCTGTTAAAATTTTAACTTAAATAACAAATAGTTTAAAAAAAGAACTTTAATGCATCAAGGACAGTTGCTGTAGTTATAAGAAATTTGGATTTTGTGTATTTATGTATTTTAAAAATCAGAACACCCAATGTAATAGTAGTTTCTAAAAGTATTGGTGTTCCCTCTGATGACGGTCTATAGCAAGGGTCTCCAAACTACGGTCCGCGGGCCACATCCGGCTCGCGATGTGATTTTATCCGGCCCGCGAAAGAATTGTGCAGAAATGCGCCAATTGAACTAATTTTCCAGTGAGTACTAGTAAATGTGATTCCGAGCTTGTTGACCTGATATATTATACTGCAGTTCGATGGCTTAGCTGTGGAAAGGTTCTTCCGCGCTTCTTTCAGTTCAGGAATGAAATTGATATATTTCTTACCGAGAAAAACCATCATGAACCACTTTTATCAGATACCGAGTGGCTTTGGAAATTAGCATTTTTTGCTGATCTGGTGAACCATATGAACCATTTGAATTTAAAGTTGCAGGGTGAAAATAACTTAAGTCTGTGATTTATTTGCCCTTATCAGGGCATTCAGAGCAAAGTTGATACTTCTGGAAAGCCAAGTGAAAAATTGTAACTTTGCAGAGTTGCATAACAAGGGTGAAGCAGAATTTCCTCCTCGTTTGCAAATTTAATCATTTCAGGTTTGAAAGAACAATTTCGGAAACGATTTGCTGATTTGGATTCCAGTGCTCAGGAAATTAGATTGTTTCAAAATCCGTTTGACTGTGATGCTGCAAATGTCTCAAGTCAAATTCAAATGGAAATTATTGAACTTCAGGAAAATTATCGTATTAAAGACAAATGCAAAGAAGGAAAGTTGATCGAATTTTATAAATTTCTGAACTCTGAGCAATTTCCAAATTTAAAGAAATTTGCTTGTAAATTTATCTCCATTTTTGGGACGACATATCTGTGTGAACGAACTTTTTCCCAGATGAAGTACATCAAGTCGAAATACAGGGCAAATTTATCCAATGAACATTTACAGTCGCTATTTGTGATTAGTGTTTCAAAATTTGAACCTCAATTTAATCAGATTTTAAGAACGCAAAAAGAGATCCATCATTCACATTGTTTTATTATAACTTGTGATGAAAATATGAGCATTTGCTGCTACTGTCTGTTGTCATTAATATACGATAATTTATTCTCACGTACTTTGTATTTAGTTTATGAAATTCTGTGCTTTCAATAAAACTCATATACCTAGAGTTATTAATTTCTCATTTTATCCGGCCCGATGAAAGTGCTGAATTACCTAATGTGACCCCTGGTCTATAGGGACCGAAACGTGTTACGGTGCTAAGAAGTGAAGTAGTAAAGGCTTCAACAGTCACACTGGTCGGAATTGTTTGTAAAATATTTATATTATTAGTGTGTTGGACCAGAATGAAACAAATCATGTTACAATTATTTTATTAAATTGTGTTAAAACTGCTACTCTGTCCTAGTTCGTGTTAAAATCACACGCTGTAGTCCTCTTTTCAAGGTAAAAATATATAAAATCCTTTAAAGTTTCTATTATAGCCGGTCAAGGTAGCCGAGCAGTCTAAGGCATGTACTGTCTTCGCTTGCTCGGAAACCGGGATCGTGGGTTCGAATTCCACTCAGGGCATGGATGTTTGGGTGCGTTTTCCTGTGTTTGTGTACAGGTAGAGGCCTTGCGGCGAGCTGATCACCCGCCCAAGGAGTCCTACCGAATGTGTAAGATCTAGAAAAACCGAAGCGAGCGGAGAAGTTCATGGAGGTAGGCCTAGGCCCACTGGGGCTGTAGTGCCAAGGAAAAAAAAAGTTTCAATTATACCCACGTTATTTTGGTGCATATTATTTCACCTCACATGGGGTGTCGTCCATTTTCATAAATGTATTACTGTCCAGGGTGTTTTGTTTCGGCAGCTTGCCCCTCACGTTCGTAGCCTACTTTTCAGTTATGACTGCCATATACCCCTCCTTTGCGTGTTTCCTCCACAGCGTGTGGTGTTGTCTTTATCATAAATAGTAGTCACACTAAAGGCACATATAACTACATGAATTGTAAAAGAGAACTATTACACTGTAATGCGAACATAAAGTTCAACAAAACCTGTTTGAAGAAAAGGCTCGTACCAAAATACGCGCATATGAAATTATCAATAAACAACGAAGCAGCTAAGAGAACACAAACACAAACCCAAACGTTACGTATAAAAAACGAAATAAAATTCTTATATAAAAAGAAGCAGCAATTAAATACACAACTGTACCATGCCCACATACACAACGCAAACATATGGCAACAGACATGGGATAACATTGAAAAATCCATAAATCATAAATTACAACAATAAATGAAAATAAAAAGGCACTAGTAAAGACAACATCACATGTGGAAAATAAAGGAAATGAATGAATGAATGAAAGTGAGGGGCAAGCTGCCAAGACAAAACACCCTGGACAGACATACATTTATGAAAATGGACGACACTGTGCGAAGTGAAATAATATGCACCAAAATAACGTGGCTATAATAGAAAATTTAAAGGATTTTATATGTTTTTACCCTGAAAAGAGGACTGCAGCATGTGATTTTAAAACGAACTAAGACAGTGTAGCAGTTTTAACACAATTTAATAAAATAATTGTAACCTATCAAGACACCTGAAGATGGTCGTTTGGGGCCGAAACATGTAGTGTCAAGGTGTATAATGGTAAACTAAAAATTGAGTGATGAATGGAAGAGTGTTGCAATATTGACGGATGACAAATAATGGACGTTAAGTTGAACAATTGCAATGGGATGCTGAAATACAGAATTACATGGCAATATTAATATGCATCTTATTTTCAGATGTGATGCATTATATGTGTATATAAATGAATAT